AATATATATATATATATATATATATATATATATATATATATATATGTGTATGTATATGTATGCATATATATGTATATGTATATTATAGATATCTTTATCTATAAATATGCATGTATATATAAAATTTTGTGTACGTTCCTTTTTTTACACATCTTACTTTGTATTGGCTCGTGTCTTAAGGGCGAGGACTCGAACGACGCTAAGGGTCGCTGGATTAGGAGGGGTAAGAGAGGTAAGATTGGGTCAGTTGGTATTTTGTTTGTTGGAGCGAAGGCGAGCCAAGCCTGAACGCTCACCCTCTTCTTCATCTGATGTACAAGGTGGTGCACCACTGACTGCACCACGTGATGATGTTGCTTGCATTAATTCTTGATCAGGACCATTTCGATGTTCATATAACAAAATATTTAATGTTTCTTCATAAATTCTGGCCTCTGGAAACTCAACCTATATATCATGAATTAAATTTTTATTTCTTTCATTTATATTGTAAATGAATTATGTTACTATATAATAATATATAATATATATTATTATATATATTTATAATAATAGATAAATATACAATCAAATATATTTTATATGTGTTTGATATTACCTTTGTATGTTTTTTATCAGTTGTATAAACAATGGAATGGCAACAAACTTCTGCAACTTTGCGACCATGACCATAAAATGTCCAACAGCAAATTTCACTGGAGCCAATTACATCTTTAATAAATAACACTCTACGACCAAATCTAAGGGACATTTTGTCGAACAATTCTATGTTTTTCAAGAGATTGTCATCTGATGTACTATAAAAGACAAGGCTTATTATATTTATTCATTTTTTATTTCATTGCAGTTTTATGAAACAGATATTATCACCTTGTATATGAATACTTGTTATTATGTCTATTAACAAGCAACTTCACTACTGGTTTAGTAGTACTACTAATTAATAATTGCTCTTCTTTCTGAGAAGTAATAAGTGGAATTCTACAAATAGGTTCTGCTTCTCTCTCTTTTCGAAGAAGTGCTTGTTCACAAGATTCAGCTAGTTCGGTAATACAATAATATTTTGCTTCTGCAAGTAATTCTGCCATTTCTCTTGTACTTTCTGGTAATGGAACTGATCCGTCTCTTAGAAAATTTAAGATTGTTCCAAAATGTTTTCCACACCTATCTATTAATATCCACCCTATAAAATATATTTATATATTTATTTTAAAATATAAATAAATATAATAAATAAAAAATAATTATATTCTTTAATATTATATTTATATAATTATATTCTTAAATAAAAAAAATAAACAAGTTTTTTCAAATTTCATATATTTTTATAATATTATATGTTTTATTAAACATAATAAAATCAAATAAAATGTCACACCTTCGGGATCTGTAAGAATTTCCATGCGACCACTAAACATAGCACGTAACATAGTATCATGTTTTTGGAGTGTCCCTAAAGTAGTGTAATGTAAGGAACCGCCGATATTGAGCTTGACATATTCCGAAGGATATTTAATTCCCGCTTTGTGATTTCCAGACATTACGAATAATGACAATATATCAGATCGTCAAATATCAATGTTAATAAATAATTAGACGAGAAAGTATATCGATTTTTAAATGTTAAATATAAAATTTAATAGAGAAAGAACAAAGCGTTGTGCTTGAGCGCCAACACAACGATAAACGATAACCAATAGAAAGATATTTTACGTGGCATTTATTAATCTCATTTTAAATATTAAAATCTTATTAAATAACACGATTTTTTCACTACTTTTTTGTGTCTTACGACTCGGCAAAAAAATATAGCCTATCGTATTCCCATTTTGGCGAGTGACTAGTACAAAGAAACGAAGACTAGTTCTAGATACGCGCAAGCGCAACTATCAGTTAATCGTTTGTTTATTTAAGAAAATGGCTGACCCTTTAGCAAAGTATGGAATTTATATCGATGATTTAAGTAAGATTCGTGTATTAGAACCAGAAGTTGCAAATCAGACAAATAAGCTTAAAGAAGAATGTAAAAATTTCATTTCGAGTAAGTCTTAGTAATTAGAAATCATTATAATTATATAAACTAATATGTATTTATTAACATTTTTGACATATACAATTTGAATAAGAAAATATTTTTATGAAGTTTGTCAATCGACTTACCTCGTTATTTTTTATTTTTCGTAATTGATAAGTATATTTTCAATACAAAACAAATGCTTGTATCTACACTTACATCCTTCTTTATAGTAATTGCTGCCATCTATATTGCCGCCTTAATCGGTATTTCAAAAGAATCATAATAAATAAAAAATTGTATATTATTAAAATATTATTAATTAAAGTATATTTATACATTTATTTATTTTCCCATCATACGAATATATTTTTTTAAAATAATTTATTGTTAAAAATCATCTTATTGAATTATTTCTAATAACTTATATTATTAATAATAATAAAAATAGTTAAATTCATAATTAATATTTATTATTTTTATCCATTTGAATTGATCTTTATGTATATATTTTTATTCATAATTGCAGTACAATTTGTATTTTCTTTAAATATTTATTTCATATGAAAATAAATTTCAAATGATTTAAATTCGTTCTATTTTTCATTCGATATTTATTGTGTCTTTTCTTTACTAGAAATTATTGAATTTCAAACCAATTCCGATGAATTTATAGAAATAATAGATCAAATTGCAAATGAGGTGGAAAAAGAAAAAATGAAAACTATTGGAACCCGAAACTTGCTTCGATCTATTGAAAAAGAAGGGATGCTCAAAAACAACAAATTCAGGTTGTTTCAAAATTAAAATATTTTACTGAATATTAGTTATTTTTGACAAATGATTGATGAATCATTAAATCAATTATTTTAATTTTTTATAAAATTATATAAAAATGTATATAATTGATAAATAGATATATTCAATAAATTAATTTAAAATAATTTAAACATTTATATGTATTAATTGCAGGCACAGATAGTTGAAAAATCTATGGAACTTGAGAGACTTCGTATACAATATGATTCTCTAAAAAAAATCGAAATGGAACAATTAGAAACTATTGAACAATTAACAGTGAATTAAGAAGTTGAAAAGCTGAAATTAATATATTTCTATTGAATATATTTTGAATGTTTGTACTTTTCTTTAAAAAATAAATTGATCATAAAATAAGGAAAATTAATAAAACTATTAAATATGATTAGAGTGACATATATTATGAAACAAAATATTTATACATAAGTTTATGACGAAGTTTGTAATTAAGACGGTGTCGGAGTTTAAACCTTTCTTAATAAGACGGCATCAAATGTACATACATATCGTGAAGGTTCTGAACCCCTGAATCAGAAAGGCACATTAGTTAATTCTGAATCATTCTACGTACGTTTCTAATATTAATATACTAATAATCATTTTGATAATAGTATTATTTTTTCTTTCTCATAAAAATTGCGCGATTGCTTTTCTTTTATAATTGTAAACAATATTGTTATATAATTACTAACAGCCGCAATTACACGTGAGCATACGGTTGCAGAAGATAAATAACAATATAAAACTTGAAGCAATCTTAAGATATCGCAGGTGATCAATTTATATTAATTATTTATCTAACATCTATATTATTTTATCGAATATAAACTTTATATGTTTTATGAATAGACAGTCGTTGTCCTTATTATACTGGTGAAATAGTGATATAATGAAAATGACTTGAAGATAAAAAAATTTATCAAGTTGCTAGAGCTTAGTTATTAAAAATTTTTCTTATTTATATATTCTAATTATATAGAAAAAGAATTTCATTAATTATATGAAATGAAAAACGATATAAGCATATAATGTAGGTACAATAATTTGATTAAAATAAAGCATATATTTCTTAAAAACATATAAATAATTTAAATATTTTTTTTCACCCTTACTTTTTACATTTCTTATGATAATTAATTTTTTTAATTTTAATACATATCTTATTAATTTTCAAAATGTTTGTATGTTTAAATATATTTAAATTTAATCTATAATTTTATTGTTCTTTTTTAAAATATTATTTTTATGTTGTCATAAATTTACAGAATATCTCATGCTGTAAGATATTTAAAAAAAAATGTTAAATATTTTAAGTAGATAGTATTCTGTAACATAGTACATACTCTTTTAACAATATTTTTAGTACAAGATCACAAATTAGCAATGCGTAATACGCAACTGTCTTCATTACACAATACAGTTTACACATTTTAAGACTACTCGCACACCCATCCATTCAACCACTATACCCAGGGATTCAAAAATAAAGTTTATTCGTAAAAATAAGAAATGGTATCGTGTTGAATTACAAATATAAATCCTATAATCTAAATTTATAAATATGTACAATTACATATCTACTATGGATGTTATCTAAAAACTCAAAGAGTATATTTTATAGACATTAATGGAGCAAATAGGATGACATAATTAAATTTATTTAATAAAAATATAAAATAACGAAAATATCTAAATGTCAAAAATTTAGAATTTCAAAAATTTATTTTTAATCTAATCATTATGGTACCTTATGTTATTTATATAAAATCTTACAAGGCTTTGATTTAATAAATGATTTCAGATTGATTTTATTTATACTTATCATCTATCTTATCATTATTATAGAAAGTATTTATGAAGTGAAATATCTATTATTTCATTAATATATAATACAGAATCGTTCATATGACTGTCTATATTTTTTTGTACATATTATCAAAATGTTAGACTATATAGTACACTATCAAATGATAATAGTGTAATTCTGAAAATAACTGGTTTTGAAGAAGAAAAAAAAAAAAACAAAAAAAAACTAAAANAAAAAAAAAAAAAAAAAAAAAAAAAAAACCGTAAAAGTTTTTAAATTAATAATAATAATAATAATAATAATAAAT